ATGTGATCAAATCATTTAAGCTGACTCTCTTTAATCTTATCTTTCATTGGAGCAACTCTAACATTTTCATATATATACTCGTTTAGAATTCTGTCTCTTCCACTTGAGCATCTTCATATATATAAGCATATAACTGCTTTTAAGTATCATATCCTTGGCGAGAGTAATGGGGAATTTATTATTGGGATATAGCCAATCAGGGTTTTTAAACTAATTAAGAAAATGGTCAGTTGAAAGGGCTCAGATGTTAGATGCTTTCATGTGAAAGTTGACCGCCATGTCCATCACTTTTATTAGCTTACTAATGCTAAGCAACTGTACTCAAACAGATTCAGGACTATCGACAAATAAATGTAATCTAAGAAAAAAAAAAACGAAAATTTAATTTCAACCATGCAATATGAAGATAAATGTGGCTTCATGTGGATATTAATAGTGATACTATTAGTTATTGGTACAGTTTTAAGTTAGATTGTTTCTTAGGAATATGTTATCTAGTAGTTTTATTCCTTTTTATAAAGAGGTTGTATTAAACTTTGAGAGGTGAAATAAGAGATTTAGTTCCTACTCTCTTCTTTTCCTTGCCTCTCTCTCTCTCTCTCATCCAAGAATCTTCTTCTTCATTCAAGATACTGACAAGTGGTATCAACGCTAGGTGGAGGTGGATGAATGTTCTTGTCCAAAGAAAGAAAGAGAGGAGTCGGTCGGGCTTGCGGTGACATTCGTATGGAAGCAAGGTGCAGGTGGAAGTTGCACGGGTTGGGTTGAAGCGGGAGAAGGGTTCAATCGGGTGGAAGTGGCTTGATCATAAGGGAAGTGCGGCTTTGGATCGAAAGAGTGTGCAGGGATTAGAGTTGGAGCTTGTGTTGGAGTTCAGAAGACTGTGCAGGGCGTGCGGGGCACGAGTTCATGGGAAAGCAGTCATATATGTGTGGGGTGGACACGCAAGTGCTGAGCTTGCAAACTAGGGCTAGTGTGATCACTTGTTGGTGCTTCGGACGGGCTATCATGGGCCTGGACTGAGCAATCTCAAGAGATATCACGGGCATTAATCAAGCGGGTGTTCGCGTGGGAGAATGCTCGAGCGGGCCAGAGGCGCGAGCATACACGGGCAAGGCTCAAGGCTCAAGGTTTTCGTGCACATTCGCTGCATAGGGCACGGGGGATGCATGCAGGGCGCAGGTGGGTTGTACGCAAGGGCGTAGATGTGTAATCCAGAGAGCTGATTGAATCGAGACATGCGCGTGCAAGTGAACTGTTTCTTGGATTCAAGATTTCAAGCAAGTCAGAGAGCACGTGGAGCTGCGCTAGGGATTGGGCATCAAGAGACTCGAAAAGATGGCGGAGCAATTCTTGAGAAAGTTGTTAATCGTCCGATAGAGGTAATTGAGGGGGAAGACTGATGGGACCATTCTTTGTGAAAACAGATCTTTTCTTATTTTATAAAGTCAGACCAAAAAGGAGATTGTTAGGTATTGGTCTAGTTTTAGGTTAAATTATTTCTTAGGAACATGTTTTATAGTAGTCTTATTCCTCTTTATAAAGAGGTTGTAACAGGCTTTGAGAGGTGCGAGCCAAGAAATAAGATTTAGCTCCTATTCTTGGCCTCTCTCTCTCTCTCTCTCTCTCTCTCTCATGTAAGAATCCACTTCCTCATTCAAGATCCTAACAGATACTTTGTCAAAAAAATATTTAATTTGACATAAATTTTGATGTAAATTTAAATTGAAAAAATTTGAAATTAAATTTCAGATAATTCAAATTTTAATTTCAATAACTTATTGCTAAAATGAATATCTTGATAAAGCAACCTAATTGATACAAAAAGTAATTTGATTTGATTTCGAACGAGCCCAAATTAAGGATTTGAAATATAATTAAAAATTTTGGTTCTTTAATTAGATGACTACACACTTTAATTAAATTAAAACCATCAAAAACCAAAACATATTAAATATGAATTCTTGAGATCCTTATCACTATGAGATCATTTAGTGGTTTGTAGATAAAATTATTATTTAGAAAATTTATTTTTTTATTTACTTTGCATTTAAAAATAAAACATTACCTTATTGTACTTTGTAGAGTTTAAAATCAATAATAATTCTAGTAATATCAAGCAAATTAATGAGCCTAGGAAATTTCCTAAATTTGCAAAATATATTTTTCTAACTCCAAATGATTTATTTGCATAGGTTAACTTAACCCAAAACTAAATTATATTGCACTCATTTTAAAATAAATTTAATAATTATAAAATACATTTTGATTAAACTTGCCACATGATATTCTGATCTAATTTTTTTCTTCCTTTCTACATTTATTTTTATTTTAATTTTGCGAAATTAAACTATAAACCTAATCAGAAATAAAAATAAATCTTGATTTCCACGAGAAATTCAGCCTCGCATAAATATTTGTTATATAATCAACCAGTTGAGATTATCAAGTCATGACAGAAAGTAAAATTGAGAAATTTAGCTATTTTCTCCTGCCATAAGCAATTAAGCACTTAAGAATAGTGGGAAAATGTTTTCTAGCTGGAAAACACCACTCGAAATTCACATACCCAACAGAACAATCCAGAATTTGTAATGAACTACAAACTATTTTTCTTCGGGAGAGGAGACCAGAGACTAAGAATTCTAATATGATGTTGATGTTGAAGTTTGAAACTGGAGTTTGTGTCAATAATGGTGCATACACTATCAAAAAATAGGATTATCGCAACACAAAATTTGACTTATCCTGGCGAAAGCAAGAGAAATGGGATTGATCAAAAAGCTAGCGTCGAACCGGCATAAGAGCTAGGGTTTCGAATATAACAGCGGTCAAAACAACTGCAAATACCTTATTCTGACGGTGGTTCAAATTGCCCCAAACAAGTGCTGCGAAAAACCATATTTTTTAATAGTGATTGAGGTCTTATTGGTGATGGCATAAATCAATGTGCAAAAGATGACAAGTGATGAACACGATGTACAACATCTGACTTGTTATCGATGCTGGTGGGTGGCGATAATCATAAAATTTTGAATGCCAAGCAAAACATTAGAGTTCTTTAGATTTCTAAGCTGTTCTCTAAACCAAAGTCAATGTCTAATCAAACTCAGTAGAATTTCTATAAACTTATATTTTCAAGCTGAGCAGAATTTGTTCAGTTCCATTCACCATTAAACACCTCCAACAATATTTTATCGCCATTACATCTATTTATGAACCACGAAGAGATATGTGCTATATCCCATCTAATTCCCAACTCTGTTTTCTTGGAAATTAGTGAACGTTAGCATCCAAACAAGCAGAAAACTGCAGAAAAGATGCTCTAAAATGGAATTAGAATCAGCCGCACACAAGCAATTGGCACTATCCATCTCTGATCACTCTCTTAAACAGAATGGCTAAAATCAATCAAAGCCATATATGAGTTCATATAGGAAGCACAATAGCTCTTTCTTTTTAAAAAATTTGCCTGCAGTCAGTCTATACATATTTTAATGAGCTATTGTTCTGTGCGGATACCGAACGATTCTCCCGTCTAATTATTAATCTTGATACTTTTATACGACACGACATATTTTTATTGATCTCCGGATGAATTAGAACGAATTCGAAGGCTGCGTGTAATAATTTTTCTATTTTAATCAACTATATCGTAGCAGTAAGATATACAGTGAATAAATATAATGAGCTAGGTTGAGAGAAGACAGATGTAGCATAGCATAGGGTGGGCTCACGTGTATTATGCTGTCAGGCAAAGACAAATGCAAGCAAATTGCTGCTGGAAGGAGTTATGGCACAATAATGAATTACTTTTGTTTCCAAGTCATTCTGTATTGTATTTGATTATTATTATCTGCTTAGTTCATGCGAGCTGAGCTGGTTCTTATTTCATTTACTATTTTTGTACTGATAGATTTTCATCTCCATAATCCGTAGGAAGAATTTCGTGTATTTCTGATTTTTTTAGCTCCGATATTCTGTTTGTACACAGATAGATCTACAATAAATAGACGTAAGCATCCACTCGTGGGATTTTGTAATAAAAAAATATTTTTATATTAAAATGTGTAATTAGAATATGTGAATTTAAAATATAATAATCATCTTTAATCAATGCATGGGCTACAGTTTTTTTAAATTCTGGAGGGAGTTTTAATTTGAATTTGCTTATTTTTGAAATATTTAAAGAACAGGATAAAAACTTATTACTTTAATAAATATATAATATTTTTGGTTTGCGAGTTTATATTTTGTATAGTATAATGGAATTTTTGTAATGTTTAAAATAAAATCATTATAGTATTTATTAGGGGGTTATACCCAATTAATTATGTGTTTTATTTGAAAAATAGAAAAATTTAATTCAAATATGGGAAGCAAAAAAAAAAAAAAAACACATGAAAATTTGTATAAATATTTTACCCAATTAATGATTATTTTATTTTATCATCACTTCATATTTCATTTTAATTTGATGAATAAGAATTATTGCATTCATTTCTTATATAAAATCAAAATATTCTCTCTTCTTCATAAAAAAAAAGTCATATTAGGAATTATACAGAGCAAAAATTTAAAATTTTATTTATGAGATAGCACATAAATATTAGATATTTTTCAAGCACATTAAGTTATATTTGAAATGACTGTAATTTTTTATAAATGTGATTGTGAAGTTGGTATAAAGAAAATAATTTTTTTTAAAATTATGATCAAATAAAAATTATGATTATAATTCAAAAAATAAAATAATAAAAAAAATTATCTCAAATGAAATTTAACTTAACATACTATGATTTATAGGATAAAAGTCCAGCTCTATAATTTTTTTAAAATTTGGAGCAAGGTCATGAAGGTTTAGGATTTTCAAAGCTATTATAAAAGTAATACGACTGTGTTGCGTCAGAACCCTCTCTCTCTCTCCTTTTTTTTTGGGGAATTTCTCTCTCCCTCTCTCGGTCTCCCTTAATATTTATACGATTTATTATATGGCGTACAGTTGAAAATGTATTCAGATCGCTGAACTCCTCAAGCATACGATCCTCACCCTCACAAGCCCCACTGATGAAAACCCCAAAACAAAGAGCAGTTGAGCTTTAAAAGGCTGTTAGAAAGCTGCCTTCCATTCTTTTATGGGAGACAGCCCACCTCTGCACTACAAACCAACTCCAAAAATATTTGAACGAGCTTTCGAAAGAGAAATTAAGAGCCAGTACTGTGGCCCTCTTCTCCTCTTTTACCTAGCTTCTTCTTCTTCTTCTTCTTCTTCTTCTTCCACCTTTCTCAATCTCTCTCTGCTCACTGTTACTTTCCTTAATGTTCACTATCTCTTCCTCTCCCCTACCGCCGGCCCAGCCGCTCTCAATCGCAGAAACCAATATCACCAAGAAGAAGCGCCGGCCGGCTGGCACGCCAGGTTTCATCTTTATATAATACTAATTCTATATTATATATTTTCTACATAAAATCAAGTACAAGTAATGCTTTTTTCTTATGCAGACCCGGATGCTGAAGTCGTCTCCTTGTCGCCGAGAACGCTTCTGGAATCCGATCGCTACGTGTGCGAGATCTGCAACCAGGGATTCCAGCGAGATCAGAACTTACAAATGCACCGCCGCCGGCACAAGGTGCCATGGAAGTTGCTGAAGAGGGAGTCAACGGTGGAGGCGGCGGCGGCTGCTTCGAAAAAGAGGGTGTTTGTATGTCCGGAGACCAGCTGCTTACACCACGATCCGTGCCACGCGCTCGGTGATCTAGTCGGAATCAAGAAACATTTCCGGCGAAAGCACTCGGCGAATAAACAGTGGGCTTGTGGCCGGTGTTCGAAAGCCTATGCAGTTCACTCGGATTATAAAGCTCATCTTAAGACTTGCGGGACTAGGGGACATTCCTGTGACTGCGGTCGCGTTTTCTCTAGGTCTTGATATTCTTTTCTGTTCTCACTTTTCATTTCTTCTGCTTAATTTCAGGCGATCTATCATCTTGAGTCTTTGGTTTCATCAAACTGACGTTTTTTGAATTAAAATTTGTATCTTTGAAAAAAAGATAAGATTTTTCGAAGTTTAAGGCGATGACTTTGACTTATTGAGTAGGATGGATAGTGAAGAGTTGGATACCAAAATACATATATTTGATGGTGATCTCAAAGAGACTGTTCTTCACATTTATACTCATCAAATCAACATCACTAGACGATTAATTTGCAACATTGCGACATTTGGGTCTCATTGATTACTATCTTTCTGCTCCTGCAGTCCCTTTCAATACTCTTGAGCGTTCAAAAACCCTAGAACTAGCTCAATACCAGCTTGATATTAGCCAAACAAAAACACTCCAGGAGAAAGTTTTTTTTTTTCAAGATATTAATTAGATTAACTCAAAAAAATTTTCTGCAGTCCCAATCTGCAATAAAACAACCGGCGCAAATTCTTTAAGCCAAAAAAATCGATCTTGTAATCTATGAAGAAGTGATTATTTATTATTTCTTCATTAATTTATTTTTTTATGGTTCCTGACAGGGTGGAGAGTTTCATCGAACACCAAGACACCTGCAGTGCAAGCCGCCGCCGGTCCGAACCACGCACTCCTCAGCAGATAACCTCCCTCTCCCGCCCAATTTCCAGCCCGAGCCCATCTACCGACACGCCACCCTGCCCACCGCCGCCTCCATACCCCAAACTACCCTTCTTCTCACCGCCATCTCGCCGGAACTTCGAACTCCAACTTCTCGCCCCTCCATCCACCGAGCTCGACCTTTCCATCGGCCCGCCGGTGCCCATAAACGAAAAGTCGGCGTCTGATGAAGCGAGGGAACAGGCGAGGCAGCAAGTGGAGATGGCGGAGAAAGAGCTCGCGACAGCTCGGAGAATACGGCAACAGGCGAGGGCTGAGTTCGAGAAAGCTTGCGCTTTGCGTGCCGCCGCCGCGCGGCAGATTAATTCAATACTGCTGCAAATTACTTGCCACGACTGCCAGCAGCGGTTGAGGTCTAAGGCGATCACAGCCGACGCCGGAGAAGAGGGAGAGCAAATGTACTGGCCAAACGTGCCTCAGCCCAAGATTTAGTTCTAGTTTTTTTAATTTTTTTTTTCTTATGTTGGCTTCTCTTTCTGTCATGTAAGTATTTGGTAATTGGCTGCTTAAAGTTGAGATTCGAATGAAATCTTTGTTATTGTTGGCTTCAACTATGGCTTTACACTTTTTTAATTAAAAAAGGAGGGTGGTTTCATTGAACGGGCTTGCAAAAAAAAAAGTTTTATACTTTTTATTTAAATCATTTTGAAAATTAATAGATTTATTTTAAAATTAGTGAATAAAAATTCATAATTTTTAAATTTATATTCATATAAATTATGTTAGAATATTCTTATGTATTTTTTTTCATTCGAAAAAAAATAGTAATAAATTTTCTTATAATCTATAATAAGATAGATATAAAAAATATTGAATTTATTTTGAGAATAATGAGTATAGATTTATTATATATGATACTAATTTTAAATTAAATTTTATGATTTTCAAGCCTAAAAATAAATTTTATTGATATTTAAGGGCATTTTTTTCATAGGCTTGCTAAGATTACCTCTAGTATTTTCTATTCTATTAAATGTTTTACTACTTCAATTTTTTATTTTTTTATTAAAATGAAATTATATTTGACATAAATTTTGTTTAGATAAATTAGTTCTAAAACTCAAAATGCAAAAGGCTCATCATTTTAACAAAGATATATTGCCCCCGATTTTATTCAATAAAGATCTCTTAATAAAACTGATTGATGCTCTAATTATTTTGATTAATCTAATTTTAAGACAATTAAGTCATAAACTTTGTTAAATATACATTTTTAATTAAACAAACATTTATTCCCTCTTTAGAGAAATTTGATGAAGGTGTCAACTGTCAAGGAGGAGAAATTATTCTGTGCAGAGGTCGGATACAGCTCTACGTCATAAGGTGAATCAGGCGCAGCCACGTCAGCGATATCAAGCCACAATATCGAGCGGTACCGAGCCGCGGTGCCATTAATGAAGTGGTGCGGTACCGAGCCGCGGTGCCATTAATGAAGTGGTGACGTAGCGCATTCTGGTTATTCTCCGGACAACATTCTGACTCCGCACAAAATAATTAATAGTCAAGGAGTGGGTTTGTGATGATGAAGTGCTAGTCTTTTTCTCTTTGGCTCATGTCAATGCTTGTCGGCAATTCAATTGGGAAAGGGAAAAGTCTGTAAAGCTGTTTTTCTTTCACCCTATCCACCAAGCCAAGTGTAAAGGCTCATCGATCCATTAATGACCTAATAGATAAAAAAAAAAAGTCTCCCATAGTAATATAAAAACTTTTGGCCAATCATATGATGATACGTGCAATCCAGATTTATGTTTATCTGTTCACCATAAAAATTAAAAAAAAAATTATTGCTTAAAAAATCAACATTTAAATCTTTAAAGTAAACTAGAAGATTTGTATGCATAGATTGATCAAATTATTTCATTAAAAATTTAGCAATTTTTTGAGAATAAAAGTAATAATTTTCTAATTGTTTAGCTTTTCCCATCTCAATCAGAGTTCATTTTTGCTATTGTTTTCTTATTATTTTTTAGAATTTCTTATGATAAAAAAATTGTATTTTACATTCAAATTTGTTAAGATATGATAACATTAAGAAAACATTTTTTTTCTAAGAATATATTTATATTTTTTTCCTCATAATAATTTTATAATCATTTTATTAAAGCTTCAATTGTAACTCTAAGATTTCATTTGGGATAGTTTTCTTAATGCTTCATAAGTCAAGAATAGCTACCATTCTCGCTTCAAGTTTTAAAAAATGTTCATAATGTCTTTTTATGTTTATATATATATTAAAATATTTTTTATATGATTAGATTTTCTTTTAATAATGCCATTTATTTCATCCATTGGTGCTATTTCCGAGAGAGTGCGTGGAAATTGATGTAACAGGAAAGTGGGTACTGACCCAAATCCAGTAGAGGGATGACTGTCGCCTGGTACAGTGGTGGCATTAGTACTCCGGCAAGCTATAGTGAGGAGAGAGATTGGAGAGATTATTTTGTGCGGATTTCGAACATAAATTACTCTTTGAAGATAAACTAAAATATATCAAGTCATTGGCATAGAGTGATATCGAGCAGTATCAAGCTACGTACGATATCGAACAATATTGTGTCGGGTACTAAGTAAGAGACGATGTGGTCTTTGAACGGCGCACGAACTCAGCACGGAATAATTTCTAGATATATAGAGGCAAATGAAAAAATTCTATCAAGTTAATAAAAAAATCATTAAAATGGTTAATTAATTATGAAATGAAATGGGTGGATAAGTCTTAAGTGGTTGAAAATATTATTTTGTTTAGGGATAGTCTCTCCCTTCTGTGCACACAATAAAGTCCATGTGATGTGGTTGTCATGGTTTTCAGTGCTATGTTGCAAAAGACAAAGCCTTTGTCACTCTCTCCACTCATCTCTCCGTTGCTTTCACTCGCTGTGCTAAGTATAGAAGTCTGAAACATTATCAGAGTTTCAGCATCTTTGACAAGCAGCAGAGCATAGCGAACAAAAGCCAAAGCAAAGAGAAGAGAGAATTAAAACCCATCTGCCCTGCTATGAGGGAAGCCTTGGGCAATCCAACGGGTCTTTATTGTTTCTCGCTGTTAGGTCTCTTTCTCGGTTTCTGTGCTGCGTTTAAAAAGGTCGTCTTTCCTCTTCTCACTGTGCGCGGTGAATGCGCTGCCTCTCTGATCTCTCTCTCTCGCTCGCTGTGCTTTGAGGGTTATGGCGCTTGTCTTAGTTTCAGAGGTTCTCAGAGGCAAAAGCCAAGAGAGATTATGATCCATTTCTTTCTTTTTCTTCCTATTTCTCTCTTCCGGTTAATAGATGCGAGGATGTGAACTTTTGTTTCCTTTTTGTTTTGTTTCCTTATCGATAAGAGCTAGCTTCTGTTGCTTCTACGACCCATTGACTTTGACTAGAGGTAAATAAATTTTTTTACTGGATGATGAACAGTAATTCAAAAAGTAAAATTTAATAAGCTTTTTTTTGTTTTTTGTTTTGGCGGAGGAGATGGTGCATGATGATCATAGAGCCCACTGAAGAGTCTGAAATTGACATATTAAATCTAATTTTGGAGGTGGAGATGGAACAACTCGAAGAACTCCAGAATTTTGAACAAATACATCGTAATTAAATACATTTGAATTCTAAAAAATTAACCAAATTATTCTGTCTAATTTTTTTGCTCATTGGTTCTTAATGAGGATTCTCGTGAAATGAATCCACCAACAAAAATGAAAAACCAACTAGCGTGGCAAGCAAAGTAAGTATGGGCTCGATGCCGGTGGGTGGTCTAATTTGGTTCAACCGAGGGATTAGTTACGCCGTCAAACACTTCCTTTGGGATAACAGCGAGTAGATATCCCGTTTCCCAAAAATAAAAACCAACGAGCTCTTTGGATTGTGATTGTGAAAGGAAAATTTGATTTCAGTTCTCTTTAGTTATGTTCTTGGCTGAGACTTCATTTGGAATGATTTTCTTACTGATTTTTGAAACAATTTTTTAATATAAAATTAAAATTTTGAAATAAAAAAGTTGTTTTAAAAAGCTCATCCTCTAAATTTTTATTATTATTATTTTTTTCTTAAAGCATCATCATCTATTGCATTTCCAACTGAACGTCATACAAACGTCATATATTTGTTATGGCGTTCTTCCGCCGCTCCATCCGATCGGCATTTTTCTCGCTATTTGATTACGGGCATTGTTCACCTACGCAATTTTTGTATGACAATCGGATTTGCCAAAGAAACGCACGAAAAAAAAAAAGAAAAACAGTTACCTTCGTTGAAGCGCGCAAAATGGAGTTTAATTAGAGATGAATCATGGAAATTTTGAATTTCATTGTATTTTGGAGTAAAAAATGGGATATTCGGTTTGACATGAGAAGTTTGGCTGAGGTTAATTTGTGTTTACTATTATTATAATTATTGTTTATTGAAAATATGTTTTTATTTAATGTGTTTAAATTTTTTTTACTTTTTAAATAAATTAAATATTAAAAAATACTCAAAAACGGCTTTGAAGTGTATTGAATATCTTTTTAAAACGATATTAGTTATAATAAATTAAATATATTTTATTTCATATCAAAATATACATAAAAAATAAAAAAAATATAAATGATCTCAAATAACCCTTAGGTTAATCATCATGCAAGCTGTTCGATTCCTTTTGTATGCAGTGAATATTGCTGGATTTAGGGGCTTTGTGGTTTGGTAAAATTTGTAATATTATATCAATTAAAGATGCCATCTATTCAATTTACTTACATGTTTAAATAACATTTCAAAAAAATATGATTATGTTTTTTTTTTTTTTTTCTAATATTAAGTTTGCGGAAATTACAGATTGTATAGATATATCTTAATTTATATAATAACACCAAATCAAATATATAGCATTGACCATACAACATAGATATTATAAGAATACTTAAATCTCAATAACATCTAATCAAACAATTAATCACTTAATTGTGGGAGAAAACAAAGAATGAAATAAACAAGAAAATAAATTTGTGGAGAAATAATATTAGGATTTAACGTTGAAAATCTTAAAACGAGAAAACCACTGAGTCATACCACGTGAAGGAAATCCGCTATAAAAAATGAGAGAATTTGTACAGAGCTTTCCCACTTACACTTTCTTTTTTCTTCATAATCATGTCCACCATTTTCGGACGAAAATACATTAGGTGAATTATATGATTATTTTTTAAGCAAATGATGCATAAATGTATGAGTTTTATAACCATCAATGTTATGGTCATTTGTTAAGCCAAATATTTCTATTGTTACATTCATACATCAAAATTCCATATAGTAATTTAAATTGCAGTCCTAAAATTATTTTAAGACTTTATCATAATTGTTGCGGGCAAGAATATACGCGGCGATAGAGTTAGCAATTTTGTCTCAGCATTGTACAGATATCCAGCACACAAACAAAAAAAATGAAATACAAGAATTTTTATGTGGAAATCTTAAAAAAGGGGAAAAAAACCACAGGGTCTTATCCATTTGAAATGATTCCACTAGCATTGGATTAGATTACAATTGGTTGACTCGTCTAAAAAATTGAGGA